TGAGTTTAAAGATAAATATGGATTTTAAAAATATCGTAATAAATGGACATTTGGGAATACGAAAAAGTGCATTTTTAATTTAATAATATTAGTTTGAAATCGGATTGAACAAAATGTTAAATTGGAATCGTTATCTACGCCACAGCGAAAAGTCCACCTTAAAATTTCATATTCGTTCCAACAGTTCGGGTATGGTATTTTTATACCTTACAATATTCTATGGAGGATATTACCTTTGGCATTCCGTTTGTAACTCCTTAAAATATTCATAATAGACCCTACAGTATAAATATTCTTAATCAGCATAAAATTCTATATTCGTCTATGGAAATCACTCTTGCTTCCGAACGAAATGAAGTAAGTTGATAAAATTTTACTTAAAAGTACAGGGTGAGATAAAAAAAACTGCAACAAAGGCAAATCCCTATTTTTTTTTTAATTTTATTGAATGAAAGCAAAAAATGTCGGAAATAGCATCAAATTTTTGAATAACTTAAAGATTTGTTCGAATTGGTCATCTTTGACAAATCGCTGCCCGAATGTTGCTCTGCGGTATTTTGGCCCATTCACGGCGAAGCGCTTGCTTGAGGTGATCGATACTTTGGTATTTTGTAGTGCCAACCTTATTTTCCAAAATGCTCCAGACACAAAAGTCCAACGGCGGATTGGTATCCGGAGATTTTGGTGGCCATTGTGCGCTGGAAATGAAGCGAGGAAACTCATTTTGTAACCATTCTTGGGTGGCGCGTGCTGAGTGCCATGGTGCTGAGTCCTGTTGGAATGTCCCAGGTCGGCGGCCAAAATATTTGCATGCCCAAGGCTTTAATTCACCCTCCAGAATATTTTAGTAATAATATTCGGCATTTATTCCGATACCACGTTCGATTAATACGAGCGAAGAGCGACCATCGGCTGTTATCGCGGCCCACGCCATCGCCATGGCTGGAGCTTGAGTTCTGGTGGCCAACCCAAGGTGCGCATTTTCAGCTGACCTCTTTGGCAAGTAAACACGAAGGACAGCGAATGTTTTCTCATCGGAGAAAACCTAATTCGTCAGTTCAACACTTTCGGCCAAGGGAAGTACCTCTTCAGCTCTTTTGAGTCTATTTTCTTTCTGTTGCACTTTTTGGAATTTTAATGGCTTTTTTTTCAAAATTTTTTTAATATTTGCCGAATGGAATGTTCAGCTCACGAGTCATTTTTCCGCCACTGCCATGAGGGTTTCGATCAACTCGGGCCATGTAGGTCCACGTTTTGATATAGCCCCCTCCCTATTATCGATATTTTGGTGATTTAAGCGACATTATTCACCGGAAATGTTTCAAATTCGGTATTTGGAGTTGCTAATGGATACTACAGCCTAATACAGAAAATTATCTGGCACGTCCACGCCTTCGTGTAGCACCCATATAACGGTATCTCTCGATATTCGGTATTTTGATGATTTTAGCGACATTATTCACCGGAATTGTTTCAAATTTGGTATGTGAAGTTCGTAATGGGTATTGCAGCCATTGACAGCAAATTGTCTGTGCAGGTCTACGTTTCGGTATAGCCAACATATAATGGTACCTCCCGATATTCGGTATTTTGTTGATATTAGCGACATTATTTATTGATTTTTTGTTAAGTTTCGCATTTGAATATTGTAATGGCTTATGACAAAATTTGCCTATGCAGGTCCACGTCATCATATAGACTCTGATATAGCGGCTATTTTCGGTATTTTTAAGATTTTAACAGAATTTTGAAAGGATTTTTTTGAAAATTACCGAAGTCGTTCTAAATGATGGAAGGTTCTAGTCGTTCTAAATGGTGGTGGCGGAACTTTGGTTCGGCCCGGCCAAACATCTTTTTAACTAGTTTAGTACTCAAAATTTTCTATTTGATAAATCATTTTAATCAATGCTTCATACATCGTACTAGTTTTTCAAACTTTAAAGGTGTTATAAAATTTTAGGATTTAAGCTCTATCCCTGCATTTTCAGAACAATATAAACATGCCAACCTTATATGCGAACATTAACCTTATAAAAATTTCAGGATGTCAGCTCTTTAATTTCCCCCATTACCAAATTTTGCACCATTTAATACGATTCTAGTACACATGTCCAAAACCAGTTCTTTCGGGATTCCATCTTTAATTTTTCATCTAATACACAATTTAGTACTTTCGGAAAAAAATGTAGTACACATGTCCAATACCAGCTCAATATCTTAACCACAGACACCAACAGGACATCCATATCAAATATCAGGATTTCAGCTATATTCTTTCACCCAATACTTAGTGTATTACTATTTGTCACGTTTCTCAAATCTCAGTTACAGATATCATCAGAGACCTCAATATTAAATTTCGGCATTCCAGCTCCATTCCTTTACCCACTACCCAATTTAATACCACTTTGTACTTTTCGAACAAGTGTAGTACACATTTTCAATACCACATCCATATCATAACCACAGCAACTAACATCTACATCAAATTTCAGGAGTTCAGCCCTATTTCTTCACCCAATATCGAATTAAGTACCATTTATTTCAATTATAGCACACATTTCCAAAACCACCTCCATATCTCAATTCCAGATACCAACAGAGATTTCAGCATTAAATTTGAGGATTCCAGCCCTATCCCAGACACATCTATATAAAATTTCAGGACTCCAGCTCTATGTCTTCACCCAATACTAAATTTAGTACCATTTAATACTTTTTGTAAAAATATAGGATGCATTTCCAAACCACCAGAAAATCTCGATCGCAGATACCATCAGTAATCTAAATAGCAAATTTCAGAATTGTATCTCTATCCCTTCATCCATTACCAAATATAGTGCCACTCTGTACTTTTCGTACAACTATAGTACACATTTCCGAAGTCACCTCCACATGTCCATGCTACACATGAACAGCGACTGAAATACCAAATTTCACGCACCATCTGTTTCCAATACCAAATTGTACCAAATATAGTATAATTTCCAAAACCAACTGGGACCCCAATAGAAAACTTTAAAATTCCAGCTTCATATGTTGACCTTAAACCAAACTACTCCAAATTAAGTACTATTTGGTACAGTTCTCATACTTTCCAAAACCACCAAACCAACACCCAAATAAATTTGGTATGAGAATCAAGGTTGGAAAGAAAGTTCGATATATGAAAACTTTCTTTCCAACCTTGATTCTTATACCAAATTTGTAGTTTTTAGCTCTATCCGTTTACATATAGTACTATTTTAGAAATTTAGTACCATTTAAGAATTTTACTTAACCTTAAATTTTGAATTTCCAAAACCCTTTGGTATATCTATTCTGCCCTCCATCAGTGACTCTCATTCCAAATTTAGTGTATTTTAGTACTTTGAGTAATAATTTCCCAAAAAAAACCCCAGTCTTTTCACACACGTCTACCTGACGTAGTCAGGTAGATTTTTAGATATTTACTGTTTGCTTGAAAATTGTTTTGTTTTGGGCTCTCGGAAATGGGCGTGGTTCGTCGTTTAACCAATAGTATCGACATAGATTTTTTGCCGAATTTTGCTGTGTTCCCAAAAAATATTTTGTGGTATATAAATTATTCCTTAAGAATTAAAAATAGTTAATTACGGGCCCAAAAATGAAATGTATCAACTATATTTTATAATCTTTAAAAATACAAAACTTAACACAAAATCTTTAAACAGTGGGACTCTATTTTCTATCCACATATCATTCTCATTTCACTTTCATCTCCAAAAGTCGTATAGCCCATCACTCGCAAATCCCACATGAGTGCTTTCGGTTGGCTCAATTTAATGCTCATAATATTTATTATTTCATAATGACAGAACAATAATGAAGAACAAGAACAATTTCATTTATTATTTGTTTTCATTTTCTTTTTTTATTTTTTTGGAAGTCAATAAAACAATATTTGGACGACCTTGATGTGTCCCATTAAATTTTCAACAAGAATGGATGTCAGAGATAAAAAAAACGCATTTGCACAGACAAACATAAATAAACACAGCCAGGCATCCAGCCGGCCACCCACCCATTCATACCTACATACATACATACACACACATATATATGGGTTGCACCAACTCAACATAAAATATCGATATAATCGAATAAATCGCGTGCTACTCCCCCGAAAAATGGAAAATACTATATGAAAAACACTCATGGGTTTTTCTTTTCTGTGGGAACAAAGTTGGTTTATGACTGGGTATCTGAATGACATGATATCCAAAGAGAAGCAAAAACATCAAATGAGAAAAAATAATAATAAAAATAATAAGTAGAAAGGAATGGCCCGAAGTATAAATCTATAGAGGCGTTATTGCTTTTGTTTTCAAACATCTGCGGAAATATTAAAAACAAAAATGAAATTGAGAAAAAAATACAAATACGAGGGAGGGAGAAAAAGTTTAAAAAAAATTGTTTAATCTTTTTTTCTGAGAAATGTCCATATGATCCTAACATTTCGTTGATATTAAGATTTAAAAAAATAAAAAAATCCTTTTCAATTTAAAAGTTATGACAACAAATCTATTTAAATTTCCTGCTTACTAGTTTTTATTCTAATCTCTACGTGGTTTTCATTTCCAATTCAAAACCTATTAAAATTTCAATAAAACTTAACAATTGTATTGTGTTTGTACAACCTCACTCCTCTCTCTCTCTCTCTCTCTCTCTCGACCATTTAGCATTGTATTGATGTTTTAATTTAGTTTCCGTTAGAATGTATTATAAACCGTTTCAAAGAGTTTATGCTTTTAAAACTGGATGCTCTTGTGGCAATTGTGGTGGCTATGCGATAGGAATGCTGTTTTCTGTGGTTTTCTGCTATTGTCATATGTTGTAGAAATTTAACAAATAGTTTGTTAAAAATCGCAGATTTTAGACTTAGTTATTTAATTTTTATTAATAAGTAACAAGCAGGTAAAGATCGTGTTGGAGCAGTTTTATTGATTCAAATTGAATTTTGTTAATTGTAATTTTTATTTCAATTTATTTGTTTTTTTTTATGGTTTTTTATTCTATTTATTTTTGAATTTAAATTAATTAATAATATGAATTCCTTAGTTGTAAAAATTAGTATTTAAATAGTATGTAAATTTACAATTAAGTTAGATGTAGAAGAATAGGATAATGAGAAAGAATAATAATAAAGTCATTGTTGTGAATTATACCGCCAACGATACGCGTCTTTCTTCTCGCCGTCCATAAAAAATAATATTTAGAAATTATAAATAAATTAATTTTATAATTAAAAAAAAAATATAATACCCTTAAAATAAAGGGTAACATTTTGGTGCCGAAACCCGGGAGTATAAAGTGTCGGTGTGTTTTGTTAATTTTGTGCAAAACAGCCTTGTTAAAATACTACAAGGAAGAAGAAGACAATATTAAAAAACAATTAAATTAAATAAATCAAATAAACACTCCCCATCAAAAGATCTGCTGCTGTCATCAAATCCAGATGCCCCGTCGCTGCGATTGCCGTCTATGCAGGAGCAAACACAACAATCAGGAGAGTGATTCTGATTCACAGGTAACAGCGTTGGACATAATTTTTGTGAATCCTAACCTGTAAATTACTCAGTGTTAGAGAATTTGTTAAACAAATTTTATTTTATCAAAATTCACACAAATTATCCATATACGCTTGATATATCAATTTATATATATTTTGTGAATCGTTTTGGCTTGATTTCGCGGCAAGATAACACAAACTTAATTATTACATATAAATTAAGTTTGCCTTTTCTTATTCCGCTTTTGCTTTGTCAGCCATTTCACTTGTTGTTATTTTATATATTTATAGCACCACACTAATCCGCGAAAACAAATTTTATTATACATTCGCGAGTGAAACTAATTGTAAACAAAATATTACAATTCGGCAAATTTAGATATATTTTTTAATTTATTAAATTTATTTGTTTAATTTTGCCTTTTTTCACTTCATTTTCTTTGTTTTGATTAGTTTCTACTAGTGCCAAACACTTCGTGAGTAATTGACTACTTGTATTCGGTTACTCCATTTGGTAAACAGTGTTATCGATAGTTTTCGAAACACAGCAATATTAAGGGTGCTATAGACGACGTAATTTTTTGTAAAATTTCTAAAACATTGAAATTTGATTGTTTACATTTGTAAACCAAACAATTTAATTAAAATAATAATTAAATTGTCAATAAAGCTGACATTGTATAAATTTTGATAAAAGCGAGAGTTTATTTTTAATAAACTAGTTCATTACCTTTCACTAATAATAAGTGTGTAGATACTTTTTTGTTTGAATTTACAAATTTAATTTAAATTCTATATAATGGCTGGTGGTAAGAAGCACCAAAGCACTCCCGATACGGAAGTTGTCAACATAAAACAACAGAAAGAAAAGGTAATTGAAAATATTGAAAGAATTAAGACTTCTTTCAGAGAAAAGAGAATTTCGTTCAATACAATTGAACTAGAATGTCGCTTAGACATTCTTAATAAATATATTGATGATGCAATGAGATTGCAATCCGAACTTGATATTCTAGATCCCGATAATAATGATCGAGGTGAACTAGAAGACTTATGCGTTACGGCAAAGTCCCTATTTTTAGGAATTTTATCTAAAAATAGGAGAAGTAGTATGCCTGAAACTTCTTTTTGTGGCCAATCACATCAATCTAGATTGCCAAACATGAAATTGCCTAAATTTAGCGGAAAATATTCCGAATACAAAAATTTTATGAGTCTTTTTGAAAATCTAGTTCACACAGATCCGACATTGACAGACATAGAAAAATTCAATCATTTAATTTCATGCTTGTCCGATGAAGCTCTCGGTACTGTAAGAGCATTTCAGATTTCTGAAGAAAATTATCCCAAGGCATTAGCTAGTCTGAAAAAGGTTTATGATAATGATTGTTTAATATTTTTCGATAATATTGCTAAACTTTTTGATCTTCCTGAGATCCCTAAACCTTCAGCTTCTGCTTTGCGTAGCATGATCGACACAGTTTCTGCTATTTATGATTCGCTGTTGTCGATTGGTGATGATAAAAAGATTACGAATGCCATTTTAATTCATTTAGTTATGTCAAAGGTCGATCCAATCACTAAATCCAAATGGGAAGAACAGCTTGATTTCGAGAAGCTCCCATTATGGTCTGATTGCGAAGCTGCTTTAAATAAAAGATATCAGCACATATCAGCTGAAGAATCTTCTGGTGCAAGACCCAAAATTAATAAACCAAAGTTTGATAATCAGCCTAAAAGGAACTTTAAAACGTCACTTTCAGTTTCTAAACAGAAACCATCTTCTGAAAAGTGCGTGTTCTGTAGATCTTTACAGCATAATATAAATAATTGTACTTCCTTCACTGCCATACCAGTTCTGCAAAGATTTGAATTCATTAAAGATGTCCCTGCTTGCATCAATTGCCTCAAAAAAGGCCATACTGTTGCCAAATGCAATTCAGGAGTGAAGTGTAGAGTATGTGGTGGATCACACCATTTCTTACTGCATCGATACGCTTCTGATCAAGAGCAGCCTTCTACGTCTAGCGCTTCGGTCAACTATTCATCGTCGAATGAAGGCGTAATGTTGGCCACAGCATTAGTGAAGGTCCGTAGTAGCTCAGGAAAATATATTCTGGCTAGAGCTCTTTTAGATTCCGGTTCTCAACCTAATTTGATAACCGAAGACTTGGTACAAAGGCTTAAAATAAAACGGGAAAGTGGCAGGTTAAATTTAACTGGCATTTCGGAAGGAATTTCCATTTCGAAAAATAAAGTTCAACTGTCTGTGATGTCGAGACTCAATCCAACCCAATTCTCATCTACATTCTGGGTATTGAGTTCTATAACAAGTCTTCAACCTGATAAGAGAATTTCCACTGCTAATTGGAATATTCCTAAAAATATAGAGCTGGCAGACCCTAATTTCAATGAACCTCGTAAAGTGGATTTATTACTTGGTGCTGAAGTTTTCTTCGAACTTCTTTGTGTAGGCCAAATCAAATCGAATCCAAGTTATCCGGTTCTGCAAAAAACTTCTCTTGGCTGGATCGTAGCTGGCAAATACGATGAGTCAAAGGGGTCAAATTCAGGAGTATGTCACTTGAATGTTGCCATAGACAATGAAGAAACGATTGATGCAATTGTGAAGAAATTCTGGGAGTTAGAAGAAATTCCAAATAATAGTGCAAAAATTCGGTCTGAGGAACATCAAAAATGTGAGGAACATTTCCAAAAATATGTTCGACGTTTATCGTCAGGACGCTTTCAAGTGTCTTTACCTTTTAAAGAAGATGTGAAACTTTTGGGTTCGTCATTTGAAACAGCCAAAAGGCGGTTTCTGGCATTGGAAAGAAAACTTTCACATGACGACACATCTAAAGGAATGTACAATTCTTTCATGAAAGAGTATCTTGACTTAGGTCACATGGAAAGAACGAACAATAAAATTCCTAATAACCCACATTATTTCATTCCTCATCAATGTGTTTTCCGACCTCAAAGTACAACTACGAAACTTCGCGTCGTGTTTGATGCATCGAGTAAAACATCTTCACATGTTTCACTCAATGATCTCTTGATGGTAGGTCCAACTATTCAAGAAGAGTTGTACTCAACGTTACTTCGATTCCGCTTACACAAATACGTAATTACTGCAGATATTGAGAAAATGTATCGTCAAGTTTTAATCGACGAAAAAGATAGAGATTTTCATTTGATCCTTTGGAGACAAAACGAAAGTGATCCGCTGCAAATTTTCAGATTGAATACGGTCACTTATGGTACTTCGTCCGCTCCATTTCTAGCAATTCGTTGCTTAAACCATTTGAGCGATTTGTCCAAAGAGACTTGGCCTATTGGTGCCAAAGTTATAAGCAACGACTTCTATGTGGATGATTTGTTGACTGGTTCTGCTGATTTGAATAGTCTTCTCACAATTCGAGATGAAGTCACTACTATTCTCAGTTCAGCGGGATTAAATCTCACAAAATGGTTTTCTAATCATCCAGATTTTAATGAGACAACTTGTGGTGAAAAGTTGTTACACTTGGATTCCGAGACTGCAAGGGCATTGGGAATTCATTGGGCTCCAAGAAATGATGTTTTCAAATTTTACATAGAGGGAGGCTTCCAAGATCTGAAAGCTACTAAAAGACACATTTTGTCAATATCTTCACGTTTGTTTGATCCCCTCGGCCTTTTGTGTCCAATAATAACCAAAGCCAAAATGTTATTGCAAGAACTTTGGATTAATAAATTAGACTGGGATGAATCGATTCCCATGCGTTTGAGTTCAGTCTGGGAAGATTTCAAATTCAATCTTTCGAAGTTGGATACGATTCAAATCCCAAGATTCGTTAACACCAATATTTCATCTAGAATTCAAATTCATGGGTTCTCAGATGCATCGATGCGTGCCTATGGATGTTGTTTCTATATTCGTTCGCAGGACTCTAATGGAGTATCTTGCAGGCTGCTAACAGCTAAATCTAAAGTAGCTCCCCTCAAAACTATATCTCTTCCGAGGTTGGAGCTCTCAGCAGCACATCTCATGGCAAATATGTGGTTACGAATTAAACCAATGATGAACTTTGATGTTGAAAAAATATACTTTTGGTCTGATTCTGAAATTACACTATACTGGTTAAAAACCCATCCTTCTTCTCTGGCCACATTTGTCTCAAATCGAGTCGCAGAAATTCAAGAATGGTCAGAAAAATGTATTTGGCGTCATGTGCCAACTAAACAGAATCCAGCCGACATTGTGTCGAGAGGATGCAGTGTAGATGAAATTAAATCATCCATATGGTTTGAAGGACCCAAATTTTTGTTAGACGATATCTCTAAATGGCCAGTCAACAAGCATTTCGAGTTGACTGAGGAGGAAAAATTATTGGAAACAAGAAAATCCAAAGTATTACTGACCTCAAATAGTAAGAAAGATAAGGAATGTTCTGAGAACACTCTTTTGAAATTAATAAATGACCATTCTTCATATAAAAAACTTCTCAGAGTGGTTTCATATGTTTTCCGATTTGTCGATCGAGTTAAGAAACGAAAGATATCCAAATCTATCTGTCTTACAGCTCAAGAATTGAATTGGTCTTTTCTTAAATTAGTAGAGGCAGTTCAAAAAGAGAGTTTCTCAGAAGAGATTTCTCAAATAAAAAAGTCAATATGCTTAAAATCCAATATCCAGAAGTTGACACCATTTATCCACGATTTTACTGAATGTAAGCGGACATTTTCTCTGCTTAGAGTAGGTGGAAGACTGTTAAATGCACAATTGCCCCATGATACAAAGTTTCCACTTTTACTTCCTAAAAAACATCATTTTGTGTCAATATATTTGAATAATTTACATTTTAATAATTGCCATGCTGGTACGAAAGCCTTAGTTGCATTGTCTCGAGAGCAAATTTGGCTTATCAATGCCAGAGAAGAATGTAATCGAATAGTTCGAAATTGTATCCATTGTTTTCGCTACAAGCCAAAGCTGATGACCCAAATAATGGGCAATATTCCCACTGATAGAGTGAGAGCTTTACGTCCATTTTTAATAATAGGCGTAGACTTCTGTGGTCCCGTAAATATAACTTTAAAAATTCGCGGAAGACCACCTACCAAAATGTATATAGCCGTCTTCGTTTGCTTCACGTCCAAAGCGGTTCACTTAGAATTAGTATCTGATTTATCTTCTGATGCTTTTATTCTTTCTTTTAAAAGGTTTGCCGCGAGGCGTGGGCTCCCCAAGAGGATATACTGCGACAACGCGACGAATTTCGTGGGAGCCAGCAGAGAGCTGAGGGAGCTTCAGGAGAAGTTCCTAGCAGGCCGAGAAACCGTGGAGGAATACGCTGCCTCGTTGAACGTGCAGTTCAGCTTCATTCCTCCGAGGGCGCCTCATTTCGGAGGGCTGTGGGAAGCTGCCGTAAAACAGGCGAAGTTCCTGCTTCTACGAGCTGTCGGCAAAGTGCTGCTGACACAAGAAGAGATGGTCACAGTGCTCGTAGAAGTAGAGGCGGTGCTAAACAGTCGCCCCATAGCACCGCTGTCTCCAGACCCCAACGACGGAGAAGCTCTGACTCCAGGGCACCTACTAATCGGAGCGGGTCTGCGTTCGCTGCCGCCAGAATCCGTCGGAGAAGACAGCGACAACAAGGAGAGGTACTGCAAGCGCTGGCAGATGCTCTCCGCTCTCAAGCAGAGGTTCTGGCGGGCTTGGTCGAGGGATTACGTCCTAGGACTACAGGACAAGGCCAAGTGGCACAATCCCCAGCCCAACATAGAGGTCGGTCAACTAGTCCTCGTGCACGAGGACAATCTGCCACCTCAAGAGTGGGTAACCGGCCGAATCGTCAACGTCACCGAGGGCCAAGACGGAAAGGTCAGGGTGGCGGAAGTAAAAACAAGGACGGGCACATTTAAGAGGCCAATAAGGAAGCTCGCTCCAATACCGATTTGTTGAAGTCCTGCAGCCATTCAATGGGGGCAGAATGTTGGAGCAGTTTTATTGATTCAAATTGAATTTTGTTAATTGTAATTTTTATTTCAATTTATTTGTTTTTTTTTATGGTTTTTTATTCTATTTATTTTTGAATTTAAATTAATTAATAATATGAATTCCTTAGTTGTAAAAATTAGTATTTAAATAGTATGTAAATTTACAATTAAGTTAGATGTAGAAGAATAGGATAATGAGAAAGAATAATAATAAAGTCATTGTTGTGAATTATACCGCCAACGATACGCGTCTTTCTTCTCGCCGTCCATAAAAAATAATATTTAGAAATTATAAATAAATTAATTTTATAATTAAAAAAAAAATATAATACCCTTAAAATAAAGGGTAACAGATCGGTTGGGACGAATTTTTTATACACTCCTTGGTTAGTCTACAAAATACCATAAAGTGGACAGAATAGCAAATATTGGGAAATATAATTATGTGTAGGCTGTACGAAAACGTGGAACCATAGAATTCTAAACAAAACCAGTACAAAATATGGATTAAATAGTCGAAAAACCTAATCGCCGAAGGTATTGTTACATATAAGGGATATAATAAAAATGGACCAATAAAGAGTGAGATGAAAAAACTGCAACCAACTTCAGACTGTTGTGATTTCTAAGCTACTTGTCCGACAGCTGTTAAAATTATTTAAGTGACAGCTCATTATATTGTTTACAAGCGTACAAAAGCATATTGTTGAGAATTTTTCAAAAAAAAAGTTATTCGTTATGGAATTCAAGCGTAATTTCTTTATATTTGGTGGAAAACAACAATTGGCTATCGTTAGAGCACTCCAGCATTTAAGTGTGAATAAATCTTTTGTGTCTCGTAACATCGCTCGTTACCGTGATACTGGTAACGTAGCCCGACGTCAAGAAAGTGAAAGGAAGAAAACAGCAACATCAGCAGAAATGCTCGAAAAGTAAAGAAACGACTGGATCGAAACCAGCTTCGCAGTGGCCGAAAAATGGCTCGTGAGCTGAACATATCGCAATATTCCATTCGGCAAATTTTGAAAAATGAGCTAGGAATAAAGCAATTAAAATTTCAAAGAGTGCAAGGGCTTACACCACAACAGACTCAAACGAGCTAAAGAGTTGCTTCGCTTGGCCGAAGGTTGTGAACTGCCGAATTTGGTTTTGTTCGATGATAAAACATTCGTTGTCCAGCAGTTGGTAAACAAACAAAATGATCGTGTTTACTTGTCAAAGAGGTCAGCTGAAAATGTGCACCTTCGGTCGGCCATCAAAACTCAAGCGCCGGCCATGGTGATGGTGTGGGCCGCCATAACAGCCTATGGTCGCGCTCCGCTTGTATTAATCGATAGTGCAAATGGTTACAAAATGAGGTTCCTCGCTTCATTTCCAGCGAACAATGGCCACTAAAATCTCCGCTGCCTGAATGATGCGCTGCGGTATTTTGGCCCATTCCCGGCGAAGCTCTTGCTTGAGGTGATCGACACTTTGGTATTTTTTTGTGCCAACCTTGCTTTTCAAAATACTCCAGACACAATAGTACACGGATTGGTATCCGGAGATTTTGGTGGCCATTGTGCGCTGGAAATTATGCGAGGGGGCGATTGGCTTAGAAATGACAGCAGTCTGAAGTTGGTTGCAGTTTTTCATCTCACCCTGCATATTGTATGCATTTTTGCCGATCTCTAACTCTTTATGAAGAGATCTTCACAAGAAGAATTGAAACCTTGTTGATCCTCAGAGAAGGAATATTCTGTCCATCTATCTTCAGACTTTCAATAAAACCACCAATTTTTTATGTACTTTTTTAATTTTATGTTATTAAAAAGGAGAAATTTGTCCTTTTTCTTTAAATTGTATTAAATCTCCTTCGGGAATCTCGTCACATCAATTTTGTGTGAATATCCTGGCCTCCTATGAGAAGTATTATCGGTGTGGTTTTTACATTTTGTTTGCCGAGAGAACACTCGATGACATTTGCCTCGACCTGCCCTTAAGTGTTTTTCTAATATTTCTGGGGTACTCGATTTTAAATCGAGTGAAATCCGATACAAAACATTTTCAATTATAAAATAAATTTCTGATATGACCACACATCGAACCAAAAAACTTCCCATGGCAACACCAGATAATTAATTGAACATTGTGCACTTACAATTTTTATTACTACTGATGTATGGAACTTTTTGCTCATCCGTTTTGCGGCTATTGGCACACAAAAAACATCCCAAAGCATTACCATCAACACCAACACGTACAACAAATCCATGTATTTAAAAAGTTCGATCATTAATTAGAAAATGAAAAATCTATAATTAAAAAAAAAAACTAAAACACCTACATTGGTGGATATTCATATGTACTTCTTTTAAATAATATTTTTTAATAAAGTACAAGAACAAAAACTAGCCATTTGAATGGGAATAAGCTGGAACAAAAATATAATACCGACAATTCAAATTCAAACACTAATTAGATCAGAGAAAAATATGTTTTGTGACCAGCATCACCCAGACGCACACACATCGGTGGCTGGCAAAAGGGATTACTTTTATATATGTATGAGTGTGTGTGTGACCAACAGACCACCTGTGACCACCAAAACTCATTACTCAGCATTTGTATGTTGTCTGAAATATGACAAAAGGTCTTATGAACTTTTGATGAATATTTTCGGTTTTTTTATGTTTCACTCAAGTGACCGTATTATTTGTGCTTTCAAAAGCCAACGGTGGTGAGTCGTCGTGTCTGTGTGTGTGTGATTGTCGAGTGTGTGTGTTTAACTTAAGTATGGTTTTTTATTGTTGGTGAAAAATGTATTCAAGGTGACAAAGGTAAATGAGATAAAAGGAGGAAAGAAATGCCATCACAGATGAGAGTTGCCACATAAGAATTTCTTGTAGCAATTATTGGACAAAGGTAGGAAAGGCCTCAAGTAAAGTTGCTATTGCTATTCTATAAGGGAGACTCATTGGTCTTCTATGATAAGACCCATTGGTCTTCCTACTGGCTATCCATTGGTCTTCCTATTGGTCTTATATTAGACCTATTGGTCTTCTATGAGAAGACCTATTGGTCTTCTATGAGAAGACCTACTGGTAATCTATGAGAAGACCTATTGGTCGTCTATGAGAAGACCTATTGGTCTTCTATGAGAAGACCTATTGGCCTTCTATGAGAAGACCTATTGGTCTTCTATGAGAAGACCTATTGGCCTTCTATGAGAAGACCTATTGGTCTTCTATGAGAAGACCTATTGGCCTTCTATGAGAAGACCTATTGGTCTTCTATGAGAAGACCTATTGGCCTTCTATGAGAAGACCTATTGGTCTTCTATGAGAAGACCTATTGGTCTTCTATGAGCAGACCTATTGGTCTTCTATGAGCAGACCTATTGGTCTTCTATGAGCAGACCTATTGGTCTTCTATGAGAAGACCTATTGGTCTTCTATGAGAAGACCTATTGGCCTTCTATGAGAAGACCTATTGGTCTTCTATGAGAAGACCTATTGGCCTTCTATGAGAAGACCTATTGGTCTTCTATGAGAAGACCTATTGGTCTTCTATGAGCAGACCTATTGGTCTTCTATGAGCAGACCTATTGGTCTTCCATGAGAAGACCTATTGGTCTTCCATGAGAAGACCTATTGGTCTTCTATAAAAAGAGCTATTGGTCTTCTATGAGAAGACCTATTGATCTTCTATAAGAAGACATATTGGTCTTCTATGAGAAGACCTATTGGTCTTTTATGGGAAGACCTTAACGTCTTCTATGAGAAGACCTTAACGTCTTCTATGAGAAGACCTTAACGTCTTCTATGAGAAGACCTTAACGTCTTCTATGAGAAGACCCAGTGGTCTTCTATGAGAAGACCTTAAGCTCTTCTATGAGAAGACCCAGTGGTCTTCTATGAGAAGACCTTAAGCTCTTCTATGAGAAGACCTTAAGCTCTTCTATGAGAAGACCCAGTGGTCTTCTATGAGAAGACCTTAAGCTCTTCTATGAGAAGACCCAGTGGTCTTCTATGAGAAGACCCAGTGGTCTTCTATGAGAAGACCTTAAGCTCTTCTATGAGAAGACCTTAAGCTCTTCTATGAGAAGACCTTAAGCTCTTCTATGAGAAGACCTTAAGCTCTTCTATGAGAAGACCTTAAGCTCTTCTATGAGACGACCTTAAGCTCTTCTATGAGAAGACCCAGAGGTCTTCTATGAGAAGACCTTAAGCTCTTCTATGAGAAGACCTTAAGCTCTTCTATGAGAAGACCTTAAGCTCTTCTATGAGAAGACCTTAAGCTCTTCTATGAGAAGACCTCAAGCTGATCTATGAGAAGACCTCAAGCTGATCTATGAGAAGACCTTAAGCTCTTCTATGAGAAGACCTTAAGCTGTCCTATGAGAAGACCTTAAGCTCTTCTATGAGAAGACGTTAAGCTCTTCTATGAGAAGACCTTAAGCTCTTCTATGAGAAGACCTTAAGCTCTTCTATGAGAAGACCTTAAGCTCTTCTATGAGAAGACCTTAAGCTCTTCTATGAGAAGACCTTAAGCTCTTCTATGAGAAGACCTTAAGCTCTTCTATGAGAAGACCTTAAGCTCTTCTATGAGAAGACCTTAAGCTCTTCTATGAGAAGACCTTAAGCTCTTCTATGAGAAGACCTTAAGCTCTTCTATGAGAAGACCTTAAGCTCTTCTATGAGACGACCTTAAGCTCTTCTATGAGAAGACCTTAAGCTCTTCTATGAGAAGACCTTAAGCTCTTCTATGAGAAGACCTTAAGCTCTTCTATGAGAAGACCTTAAGCTCTTCTATGAGAAGACCTTAACGTCTTCTATGAGAAGACCTTAACGTCTTCTATGAGAAGACCTTAACGTCTTCTATGAGAAGACCTTAAGCTCTTCTATGAGAAGACCTTAAGCTCTTCTATGAGAAGACCTTAAGCTCTTCTATGAGAAGACCTTAAGCTCTTCTATGAGAAGACCTTAAGCTCTTCTATGAGAAGACCTTAAGCTCTTCTATGAGAAGACCTTAAGCTCTTCTATGAGAAGACCTTAAGCTCTTCTATGAGAAGACCTTAAGCTCTTCTATGAGAAGACCTTAAGCTCTTCTGTGAGAAGACCTTAAGCTCTTCTATGAGAAGAGACATTAAGCTATTCTATGAGAAGAGACCTTAAGCTCTTCTATGAGAAGAGACCTTAAGCTCTTCTATGAGAAGAGACCTTAAGCTCTTCTATGAGAAGAGACCTTAAGCTCTTCTATGAGAAGAGACCTTAAGCTCTTCTATGAGCAGAGACGTTAAGCTTTTCTATGAGAAGAGACCTTAAGCTCTTCTATGAGAAGAGACCTTAAGCTCTTCTATGA